TACCCATTAACACCAAAACAGCAAAGTGAAAACCAGACTTAGGTGCGTATGCAGACCTACAGCCTTGCCAAAAGGATCAAACACAAACCTCATCAATCAATCATCTGAATCCAGCTGCCAATCTGCAGGAAATGCAGAGAAGACAGCAACATGGTCAAGTGTGCCATCAGCAAGGCCCAAACCGATGGAGACTCTTTGGGTCCCAAATGCCGGGTTCTTTTAACAGATACGTTGTAAGGAAAATAAAAAAGATGGAAGGGGAATGTGTAGATTAAAAGTGACTTAAAAAGGGGGGAGAGGGAAAAAGACTTAAAAGGCATATAAAGTCAGAAATAACAAGAGGCAAAACTAAAGTGACAGGGATAAATACTTAGGTGACAAAACCATAAAGAAAAATAAGAAAGCTATTATTATAAAAGTCAGGGTAATAGATATTTTTGGATGGAGGGAGAGAACTGTAATTGGAGTGGGCTACATGGAGGGGGTTCTAGAAAGGCTGGAAAAATTCTGTTTTTCGTCTTTAGATGATGGTCACAAGTGAGCTTGCCTTACACTAATTCACTAAGCTAAAAAAAGAAATTAAAAAGTTGTTGAAGGAATGCACATTATTGGAGCAGCTGGGGAAACCCGAATATGGACTACATATGAGGTAAGGCTTAAGGAAACAAGGAAATGTTAACTTTCCCCAGTGTGATAATGGTATTACGATTATATTAGTGAATGTCCGCGTTCTTTGGAAATACACACTGAATTAGGTATGGGTGGGAAGTGCAATGATACCCACAACTAATTCTCACATAGTTCAGAAAAAGAAAATACATGTGTGTGAGTGCCCACACATGCGTAAAATAAGAGACAAAGCAAATGTGGCAAAATGTTAACTGGTGAATCGAAGTGAAGGGGACAGTCATTATTTCTGCAGCTGTTCTGTAGTTTTGAAATTTTTTCAAATTAAAATTTGGAGAATAAAGTAAAATCACACACGCGCGTGCACACGCATAGGCATGCACAGAAAACACACACCCCACAGTGAAAAACTATTTTAAAGCTACCAGATGGCAAAACTGGAAGCAACCACTTTGTAAAATGACTTGGTGTCATCTAGTAAAATTGATGTGCAGACCCTATGAACAGGAATCCCAGCCTAGGGAAACTCCTAATAAACCTGACACCGGTACAAAAATGCTCACAGCTGTGTGTGAAACAATAAATGGAAAATCACCCAACTAGTCAGCAACATGGTTATTTTCCCACAAAGGAATATTCTACAGCAGTGAAAATGAATAGACTGTAGCCATACTCTGCCCATAAACATGTTAAGGGGGCAAAACAAGGTACACAATAGTACACATAGTAAGATTCCATTTAGATAAACTCTTTGTATGTGTATTTGATATATTTTAAAGATAAAATATAGGCAAGTTTCACTACAATGTTTTAGAAGAAGAATAAGGAGATGAAAAACCAAATTCTGGATAGTAGTTCCCTCTGGGGAGACAGGTGCAGGAAGGGGAGGGCATGGAGAACTTGGAAGGCATTGATAATTGCCTATCTTTTAAAGGTGGGTGGATGATTGGTATATATGTGGTCATTATAGTGTTGGATTTTATTTTTTTTAAGATTTTATTTATTTATCAGATAGAGATCACAAGTAGGCAGAGAGGCAGGCAGAGAGAGAGGGGGAAGCAGGCTCACCGCCGAGCAGAGAGCCCAATGTGGGGCTCGATCCCAGGACCCCGAGATCATGACCTGAGCCGAAGGCAGAGGCTTTAACCCACTGAGCCACCCAGGCGCCCCTCTAGTGTTGGATTTTAAACTCTGTCTCTCTCTGTGTGTGTCTGTGTCTATAAACAGAAGTTTTTTTTAAGATTTTATTTTTTTTTAAAGTAATCTCTGTAGAAACCCAATGTGGGGCTTGAACTCACGACCCCGAGATCAAGAATTGCATGCTCTACTGACTGAGCCAGCCAGGTGCCCCTGTAGACAGAGTTTAAAACCCAACAGGTATTTTCTATCTGAAAAACAAAAACAAACATTCGACAACTCTAGGCTCACAATATTTTTTGGACACACCCATCACTGCTTCACAGTTCTGACAGAGTTCATTTTAGCTGAAGCGGATAAATTTCTGTGACCTGACCAAAAGCAATGACAGAACTGAAAGACCACCTCATCCAAACTACTGGTCAAATAATCAGTGCAAACATTTAGTATCAATTTCTAAAAGGGAAAAAAGGATGTGGCAGAGAAGAAAAATGCCACAGACTTACTTAGGGTCTCTGAGAGTAATAAAACTCCATGGCAAATAATGTAATTGAGAACTGAGCCATCATTCCTACCACTGAAAATTTCAGGGCCCTGTTTTAAATACGCTGTCCACAGATTCCTTTTGACTATTTAGAACCACGAGCATGTACCTTTGTTAGCTCACTACAGTGGTAACTATGGACAACCATGAATTAGATTGCATCTAATTGAGACTGCTAATTTCAAGCCTGACTTGAAAACCAATTTCCAAATAAGCTAAGAAACAAACAAAACTCTCAATCACAAAGCGTCCCCCCAGCTCCCTTCAGAGACACAGTTCCTGGGTCCCAAAGGATTCCTGTTCCAGGGTAACTTAAATCTTTGCTTTCATCCGTGAAACAAAATAAAAACCACTGAAATCCATAAAAGCCAACAAGAAGGGGGAAGTGCAATCAATAAAAAACAATGGCATTTCACCATCAGATAATTCCTGAAATCTATCAATATTTGATTAAAGCCTCCTGTTGTTCTTCATTTAAAACTTGTGCAAAATATTTAAGTAGTCAACATCAATTTTATTACTTTCTAGTGAGAACACACAACGGTCAGGAAGAGATTACGCTTTCACGGTAAATAAATGAAAGAACATTACATTCTCAATGACTCTGAAGAGGACAAGAACACAGAAGACCAGAGGAAAAAAATCCAGGCCAACTGTGAGCTAATTGGACATCTTTACTCTCTCATTCCCCAAAGACTCACATATAAATGTGAGTGGCTTTAATATCTAACGTTTTCAAATTACCATAAAATGCTGGCCTGTTTAACCTGCATTCCAACCACAGTCCCGCTGCTTCTCCCCTGGGCTGAATTCTCAGAGCAGAGAAAGCTATTTCCAAGCTAGAGGCTCTGGGGGGATCCCCTCCTCGGCTTTCGTGAACAGTGGGACTGAGCTGCCCACGGACACTACGGTGAGCACTCAGAGGCTCCCAGGAGACCTTCCCACAACTGGCTTTGGGGCACATGTGTCCCTGCCACCACCACTGAGCACTTGGAACTGAGCATGAGTTTCATTTTCCATGTTTCTTTCTAGGGCTCTGTAGAGCCTTCCTGATGTTCTTTTTTTTTTTTAAAGATTTTATTTATTTTTGACAGAGAGAGAGAGAGATCACAAGTAGGCAGAGGTGGGGAGGGGTAAGCAGGCTCCCTGCTGAGCAAAGAGCCTGATGCGGGGCTCGATCCCAGGACCCTGAGATCATGACCTGAGCTGAAGGCAGAGGCTTAACCCACTGAGCCACCCAGACACCCCCCTTCCTGACATTCTATTTCCATTCCCATATAAAACTCAGTGTGGACTTAAGGAATTCTTTAAACAGGAAAGCAAGCTGCCAAAGAAAATGTCAGAGGAATGGAAACAAAACTAGGGGTGTTTATTCTTTAAAGAAGATTGCCAAAGGGTACTTATATTAACACAGAACTTCCTACTCAAAGCTAGCTTAAACAGGCTCCAGAGAGACTAATTCCTTTAGCTACTACTAACACAAACATGAGTCTTAAGATTTCACTGGACGACTATTTCTGTAAATAATGAGGATGGCTTACAACTGATTCTATAATGTTACATCCAAATTCCAGTTCAAAACTGGATTTCAATTGTGACACAGTTCTTTGTATTTTTAAAGAGTATTTTGACTTGAGATAACAGAACTCAAAATGAACTTCCTTCCATCTATAATGTAGAAGGTATGTTAATGTAAGAACCCTAATTCTTCTTTATCAAGCAGTGCCTTGGAGGGCTTGGAGGAGACATGATACCTATTCTATACTCATTTTTCCTTATCAGAGGAAAGAATGTTCTAGCAAACAGGGGTAACATTCATTCAGCTATGGGGCTGTAAGAAGAGCTGAAAGAGGACACCCTCTTACAACTACACAGCCTTCTCCCTCTGCTGCTCATCCACCAGTCATAACAGAGAATATGGTCTGTGGCTGGTGGCTGATTGCCCCCTTATACCACGGCTCAAGCCCTTAACTGGGCAAAGGAAGCCAGGGAATCTGGTCATGCTAAAGTAAAGGAGGGAGCCCATAACACGTATAACAGCAAGAGGAGGAGCCTTGTTTAGTTTTGTGTGTGTGTGTGTGTGTGTGCTTTTTTTTTAAAAGATTTTATTTATTTATTTGACAGAGAACACAAGTAGGCAGAGAGGCAGGCAGAGAGAGAGAGAGAGAAGCAGGCTCTGCACTTAGCAGAGAGCCCGATGCGGGGCTCGATTCCAGGACCCTGGGATCACGACCTGAGCCTAAGGCAGAGGCTTTAACCCACTGAGCCACCCAGGCGCCCCTGTGTGTGCTTTTTTTTGGTGGTGGTGGTGGGTTTTTTTGGTGGTGGTGGTGGGTTTTTTTGCCTGGGAACACAGTATGTTCCCTACGAATCAAGTTTTGATAAAACTTTCCAAAAAATGTGCTACACTTTGAACACATTCTAAATACAAGAGAGAGAAAATGATGATCTACGAGTGCAGTGGAATGCATTTCATGGTCACCACTTTTTAGCCTTACTAGTAATAACCCAATACACAGAGGTTCTCTTGCTCCTCCAATAAAGGCCACCAATAGAGAATCTAAGCTAGAGGCATAATGAAAACAAATAGAAAAAGCAGGATCAGGCAACAGTGTTATCAAGAATCTTACAAAACCCTAAAGAGACCATATATTTAAACCAAAAGGAAAATAATGCAAAAGATCTTTCTCACCTTTTGAAAGTTCTCCTTCCACAAATCTTCTATGACTATGTATCCTCGTAAACCCCAGTCATATAATTTCTCCCCACTGACCTTGAAACAAAATATAAAAGATCCATTACTATTCCATACATGACTGGTAAGAATAAGAATATTCTACTTTCCTTTTTCCTGTTTCCAAAAGAACTGTAGTTAAGCATACAACGACCCCAGAAGCCCTGGGGCATATACATTAAGGCTGGGAAACGTAAGCAAATACGAAGATAGTGAGAGTCGTAGCATTAAAAAGAAAACACAGTTTGGTCATGCAGTCAGTGTTTGAAATAATTTGGCATAAATTACAGGTGAATAAGGGGAAAAAATGAAGGAAGTCAACCACTGACAGGTGAAATTCCTGAAAACGAGACACAGAAAGAAGGTTTCTGCCTATCACATCTAACACGTCATAGCCAACCAACGAGGCACATGAAAATCACCCACTCATTTTAGGGGCCTAGTTAAAAAAAATAGGTGAACCTAATGAAGATGGTCTTAGTTTTCCCAAGTCCCCCCAAACATACAAGTCTTCACGTTTCTAAAGGGATTTTGCCTCTTGATCCAATATCCTTTCTACAACATCCTGAGAGGTAGGCACTGGGGTCAGAGAACACTCTGGGGCCAAGACGCTCACACCTTCATATAATAGTGTGAAGGCACTGCATGGTGACAGATGGGAGCTACACTTGTGTGAGCACAGCATAATGTATAAACTTGTTCAATCACTATGTTGCACACCTGAAGCTAATGTGACATTGTGTGGCAACAACACTCAAATTGAAAAAATTAAAAAGAAAATTTTTTTTTAAATGCACTGGTCCACTTTTCGCTAGCTGACTTTAACTATTGAATTTTTAAGTATTGAGTTTGTATTTTTTTTTTTTTTACTTAAAACCAACTCGCTCCGATCTGCTTTTTCAATATTAAAAAGGGGACGGGCAGATCGCAGCATCCAGACATCCCGCAAAGTAGGTGGGTTACCTTAGGGGCAACCTTTACCCGCTCAAAAATTCGTCTCACATTAGCAGTGAGGATTCAGGCATCACCCCGAATCGTTATTTTCCTTCCTCATAAGTTTAAGGCATTAAGTATTGAGTTTTCTTAAATTTGCATGCATTGGTCCTACACTTGACAAACTATGTTGATTACTTTTCCACATGGAATTTCCACTGCGAGTTTCTGAAAGCAGTTACTATTCTTTCTAATTTTTATAATAATTTATCTATGTAGAGCACTTTAGTTTACAAAGCACTTTCACATGAATTATCCCTATTCTAAATAACAACCTGTGCAGTAAGTAGGCAAAGATTGTAAGGAAATACTCAGTAGCCAAGTGACCAGTCCAACTAAGGTCACAGTACTAGTAGTTATTTTCTTCCGGCTGCTCTAACTGTTCTTAAAATATATGATTCTCAGACCCACTGGTAGACCTATCGAGCATTTACCACATATATGACACTATTCTTGGTACTTTACATTTCTGAGAGGAAAAGAACATTTGCCATCACTTTAAGCATTTTCTTATAGTACTTCTCTCCAAACACTACTGAACAAAAAACAACGTGAGCAATTATGTGGCTGGTCCAAGGTCAGGGTATTCATAAAAAAAAAAATTAAAACTGTTGACACAGGAACTAAATGGCACTAAAACAGTAACAGAAAATCCCTTTCAATCACTGATGTCTCTTTCATTTTATTGTAGCCAAATATACATACAATTTACCATTTTATCCATTTTTAGGTGTACAATCCAGTGGCGTACGTGCATTCACAGTGTTATGAAACCATGACCATTATCCATGTCCAGAACTTCCTCACCATCCCAAACAGATCGCTAATGTTTTAGGTCTAGTGAAAATGAAGTTAATTGTTTTGTTCTGGCTTACTCTAAGTACCAGATAAAAGACAAAACACTCCTTCCCACTGACTTGAAAAATAAATTAGAATACAACTCATATTTGCATCCTACGATCTTGGCTGTGAATACAAAAGCTCTTTTGCAACATATGCTGTGGCATATAAATAAAAAGACCTCTACTCAGGGGGCAGCCACATGTGCTTCCGGAGCAGCAGCCCAGCCCACCCTCCCCACCCTATCCCTTTACCAGTGGAACCACAACTCGCTGAGATGATGGATGGCGGTGCTGATGAGCCAGGGCAGGCAGACATGATTCACTGTTCCTGAGCCGGGGCTGAAGCAGGCAGGGGGACATTAACTCTCTGCCTCCCAGGACTGCATTAAACAGTGTCAAGCCCATGTGATAAAGACCTTCCTGGCATCTGCTACCAAAGCCACCCATTTCTCACAGCTGCGGCCACTGGGCGCCCACCTACGACTACAGTGCAATCCAGGAATCCAGCCTCAATCCTGTCAGGAGCACCCCAGGGAGCTCAGGGTCAGAGTGGCCTGGTTCAGAGCCCTGAGGGCGCAACTCTAATGACGGCACCGCTGCTCCTCTGGGACCAAGTCTCGGCGTGACAGAGTACCTCCAGGAACTGGGCAGGTCCCTGTCTCCAGATGCTGTCCAGGACTTCAAAACCTCGAGCCTGCTTTGTTCTTCCCAGGTTTCCAAGGCACTCGATGTCTAGAGTTCCCCTAAGTCCAGACCCCACTGCCCGGAGGAAGTCTAGCCTCTCTCAGTGGTTCTCAAACATCAAGGACACTCAAACCCCCTGGGGAGCTTGCTAAAACCCAGATCGCTGGCCCTCATCTTCAGAATGTTCTGAGTCAGTCAGTCTGGCTTGGGGCCTGAGAACGTGCATTTCTAACAAGCCAGGGGATCCTGATGTTGCTGGTCTAGGGACCACAATTTACAAACAGCTGGTCTAGCTGTTAGGGACTGAATTGTGTCTCTCAAAATTCACATGCTGAAGTCCTAACCCACAGCGTGACTCTATTTGGAGATAGAGCCTTTAAAGGAGTGACCGAGGTTAAATGAGGTAATGAGAGTGGGGCTCTAATCCAAAACGACTGGTGTCATTAGAAGATGAGGGTGAGACACGAGGGATGTCCACACACCATGAAAAGATGGCCATCTGCAAGACAAGGAGAGAGGTCCTAGGAGAAACCAACCCTTCCAGCACCGTGATCTGGACTTCCAGCCTCCGGAATAGCACAGAAATAAATCTCTGTTGTTCAAGCCACTCCATCTGTGGTATTTTGTGAGGGAACCCTGAGCAGACTGAAACACAGCTTTACCCATCTTGCCTGCCAACTCAGTTCTCCGACTTGACAGGATGCCATCAAGTTGAGGTCTGAAGGGAAAGAAAGGAGCAGCCAACTGAGAGCCCTAAGAGGGGCACTCCTGGCAGACGGGACTGCATGCCTTGAAGCCCCCAGCAAGTAAAGTGAGGCTGACACCAGGCCTGGGGAGAAGGTGCAGAGGGCCAGAGCACAGGCCTATGCGTGCAACTCCAAGGAGGACAGGTTATGATCACGTGCACCCATATGGAGAATGACCCATAACTAGCAGCTGTGGAGTGTGAGTCTCTAGACTTCCATGTAAATATGCACCCACAAAAGGTATCTTGATTCTTTGGACTAATATTCAACTTAGTGTGCATTCTCTGAATACTGACATGATCGGAAGGAGGGCCAGAACTGAGGCACGTGGTGGAGAAAAGCACCAATATGTACCAATAAATATGTGGCCGTTCATTTTATGTGCAAACAAATTCTAGTCAGGTGCAATTAAAGCTGCAAAATAAAAAAATATTAAGCAGTAAACCCAAACATACACAAGCAAGAAAAAGGGACACCCCAGCTTACTGCGTCTAACTTACCTGGACAAATACAATGGCTTGTTGTGGGTAATAAAGAGAGGCAGCAAGTCCCATGAATCCAGGCGGATATACCAGCTTCTTTATTTTTGAACCTATAGAATAAAAGCTTGTAGATGTCAAGAGAGGATTCATGACCCTTACCATCTCTGTTTGCCCTGGAAACCTAACACTGAATAAGACTTCTTTTCTTTGATCCTAGATTAGCAGAGAATGTGTCTAATAATGTCATACACACCAAAAAGAACCATCACATCCCCATAGCTTTGGTGAGAGATAATTCACACAAGTCACCCATTTACAGTGTACATGCATTCTGATGTATTCACAGAGGTATGCAAACCATCACTACAATCAATTCTAGAATATTTTCATCACCCCCCAAAAGAAACGCCGTATCTATTAGCAGTCACCCCACCTATTTCCCCAGGACCCCAATCCCTAGAGAACCACTAATCTACTTTCTGTGTCTACAGAGATGCCTACTCTGGACACTGCACATATATACAAATATATAAATGCAGTTATACAGTATGTGGTCCTTTGTGACTGGTTTCTTTCATCAGCACAATGTTTGCAAGAGAACCACCACTTCTAAGGGAGCAAAAATAAAGAACGTTCTGAAAAGAAGCACATGGCACTTTGGTCTCCAAGGTTTATGTTTTTTTATAGTAAACTGGTTTCCTATTTAAGGACTCAACACAAGCCTTGCTCTCCTCTCCTTTCTAATACTCCATGAAAATAACAGTAAAAGAATAAAATGCAGGTAATAAACCCGCAGTGAAGAGGAAATGGGTGGAGGGGCCATTGGGAGATAAGAAGTGTCATCCAACTTACAGAAAACAGAGAGTGGACAGAGGCAAGAGGACACACAGCTACGAAGTCCTGAGGAGGGAGCAGCAGGTCCTCGGCAGCCCAGAGACAGCAGGTACTGTGGATGCCGAGGGCGGCCAAGGATCAAGAGGGAGGGAGGCGGGAAGATGTGGGGACTACGGACGGACACAAATGCAAGTCCTGTGCAGAGCCTAGGGGTGATTCTCTCCTTCCTCCATGCCATCTTGGTGCAAAACTGTCTGTGGCCAGGCAGTCTGTCCAGCCAAACTTTTACAAAGGGGGAGAAGTACCTCTAAAGAGGGGCGCTCGGGTGGCTCAGTCAGTTAAGCATCTGACTCTTGAGCTCAGCTCAGGTCTTGATCTCAGGGTGAGTTTAAGTCCTGCATTAGGCTCCATGCTGGGTACAGAGCCTACTTTAAAAAAAAAAAAAAAAGAAGTATCTCTAAAGAAATGCCATAAACTTTCTGCGGAGAACCAAGATAGCCAGTGTGTGTGTGCATGTGAGTGTTGTACCCAAGAGCAGAGTTTTCCCCAAAATGGCCCCAGGTATAGGCACCCTCCATATAAAGTCAATTCCCTTTCAGCTCACCCTGAGGTAGAACCTATTGGCCAGTAAGCCCCATCTATGCACAAAAAATTCTTATTAGCATTTCAATCGCCTTGCTCTTATACTTGACTGTATAACCAATAATCACTAGTCATTTGAGGAAGGCCTGCAGCATAAAAGGCAAGATCGAGACAAGCAAGAAAGGAAAAAAATGACCCTTTAGGCAACAAAAAAACTTAAAAACAAAAATACCCCTGTTACTAAGTATGGTTGAATCAACTTAATCAGCTACTACATTAAAAGAAAAAAAGGTTCCATGAAAAGGAGATAATCAAAGAACAAGAAAGAGCTACTTGGAAATGACAAAAGTAAAAACAAATCAAAGGAATAAAATGAACAAGAAAATAAGAAACATACAGGGTCACTTAAACAGCTTCATTGCTAATTCAGAAAGGAAAAAGAATGAGAGTAAATTTTCTTTTTTTTTTTATTAAAGATTTATTTGACAGAGAGAGAGAGACAGCAAGAGCAGGAACATAAGCAGGGGGAGTGGGAGAGGGAGAAGCAGGCTTCCCACTGTGCAGGGAGCCTGATGCGGGGCTCCATCCCAGGACCCTGGGTTCATGACCTGAGCCTAAGGCAGATGCTTAACGATGGAGCCACCCAGGTGCCCTGAGAGTAAATTTTCAAAGAAATACAAACCAGATTACATCCCTAGAGCTTAAGGTTACAGGCCACCAAAATGCCCAACGAGGAATGAGACATCTACAGGCAGTCACACCACCCTGGAAGTTCAAAACACTGAAGACTGGGGCACCTGGGTGGCTCAGTGGGTTAAAGCCTCTGCCTTCAGCTCAGGTCATGATCCCAGGGTCCTGGGATCCAGCTCCTCTCTGCTCAGCAGGGAGCCTGCTTCCCTTCCTCTCCCTCTGCTTGCCTCTCTGCCTACTTGTGATCTCTGTCTTTCAAATAAATAAATAAAATCCTTAAAAAAAAAAAAAGAACACTGAAGATTAAGAGAAGATCCTCAAAGCTTCCGGGGAAAAAAAATGAACCACTTCAGAAGGAACGGGCATCCAGGCTGGCTGCTGACACTCACACCTGTGATGCCAGATGCTAGAAGACATGGCCTTCAAAATTTTGATGGAAAACAGATTCTATACCCAACCAAATTCTCACCTAATATGAGGGTAGAAAGTAATTTCCAGATTTGAAAGGATTTGTAAAGTTTCCTTCCAACATGGGCTTTTTTGAAAGTGACTCGAGCATGTAGTTCAAGAACATGGCAGAGCAAACCAAGGAAAAGAGGACATGGAACCCCCAGAAAGGGGGTCAGACCCAGGAGAGCAATGGAGCCATGTCCCAAGACCACCACAGAGCTGAGTCTTAGTCCAGACCGCAAGGAGGTATATGAAAGAGGACTTCAACTACCTCCATTTTGATCTCAGTCTGCACTTTCTGAAAAATTTTTAAGATTTTAAAGTAATCTCTACACCCAACATACGGCTTGAACTACAACCGTGAGATTAAGAGTCGCCTGCTCTAACGACTGAGCCAGTAGGCACCCCTCAGTCTGCACTTTCTAAATGCTGAAATCTCCCTTTCCAGCTTCTCTTTTAACTCAGGCAAAAGACCCTGTGTGCAAAACGTCCCCTGGTGGGAACCAAACCTACCCCCTCCCTCAATTAGTAAGGACTGCCCTGAGCCAGTAGGAACCCCATGTGACTGACTCCAAGACAATGATGGATTTGACCTCCACTGACCACCTGCACTTACCTTTGCCCCACATTGCCCTTACCTAATCCTGGAAGCATTTTCGGCACTTTGGAGATAGTCTCTGAGACGCTAGTCCACTGTCCTCTGGGTGTTGGCCTCACTGAAATAAATTCCTTTCTTGTTTCAACACCACTCACCTCTCTGACTTTGGATTTTGTCAGCGACGACTGACTGAAGCTGGTCTGTTTAAGATTCCTGAAGATAGCTGCTCTTACACCCTTGTGCCGCAGGTACACGTAGAGCCCTGGGCAAAGGGGAATGGTAGGAGAGGGAGCAGCACGGAGAACCAAAGAAGCCTGAGAATAAGGTTCAGAAAACTAACAGAGGGTGAAACAGGAGACATCTCTAGAAATGAACTTGGACCTAGAGAGTGTCTGCCAAGAGGCGCAGGGCTCTTCACATGGGCCATGGTTAGATGCTAGGGCAATGTATGTTAGTAACACACAGAATAACCTAAGTGCTGTTTACTGGTTTTAAACTCTAAACAGACATATCTCCAAAGACGGAACTAGGGCCATAGGAGACAAAACAAATGTTATCATGTAGACTCGTAATAAATTCATGTTTCTCTTCTTGTCTTACTGCCTTGATAGAAAGGATACAATTCCTCTAGAACACACTGTTTTTATCCCTGGGGTCCCACCTATACGCTTGGAGCTCATACAGGTGAGGACCAAGTAAAGGACAGCACACCCGACAACCAGCCATTTCTGGGTCATTCGCAAAAAACTGGTAAGCAGCAGCTCTTGGGCCTCCAGCTCCTAATGGTTCACACAATGAGCTGGGGGCTCCAAAACTTCGAAGGAAGTGGGGAGGAGCCATCAGAAGCCAACGATAGTGGGCAACGACTACCTGCCACCTTTGAGTGACCTGAGTCCACTTCCTCGGAATGATCACCCACTCACCTCCTAGAGAGGTGCCTCTTGTCACCACCAGTCACGGCCATTCTCATCAAATGAGGAGCACTACCTTAGCATTTATGCTCAAGAAACTCTATCTTATGACCCAGCAATCCCTCTTCTGGGTATATACTGAAAGGAAATGAAGCCAGTATCTCAAACAGCATTAGTCACAAGAGCCAAGACATGGAAACAACCTAAGCGTCAAGGGATGAGGAAGTAAAGAAATTGTGATACTTATATGAATGGAATATTATTCGGCTTTGAAAAAGGAGACCCTGACACCTGTAAAAACATGGATGAACGCAGAGGACATTATACTACGTGAAATAAGCCAAACAAAACCCGCACGATCTCACTGACAATCTGGAATCTAAAAGAGTCAAACGCATAGAAGCAGACAGTAGAAGTGTGGCTACCAGAAGAGGTGGGGTGGAGATGGAGAGATGCTGGTCGCAGGGTACAAAGTCGCAGTTATGCAGAATGAGTAAGTCTAGAGAGTAATGTAGGGCATGATGGCCATGGCTAACAATATTGAGTCCTGGAGACTTACTAAGAGAGATTATTGGTGCTTTCATCTAAAAAAAAAAAAAAAAAAAAAAAAAAAAGAGGTAACTGTGATAGAAGGCATGTTAAATAGCTTGACCAGAGTATTCATTTCACTATGCATATGTATACATATATGTATATCAAAACATCATGTCATACACCTTAAAAACATACAATTTTTATTAAAAAATAAAAATTTGTAGACGTTAAACCAAAAAAAAAAAGAAAAGAAAAGAAACTCTGTGCTTAGAGGGGGGTGCAAAGCACTCCAGACCCCCAATAAACATGCTCGCCATCCCACCCATCTCATTCAGTGATCACCTGACATTGTTCACTGCACGCCTTTCTACCCCAGCCCCAAGGAAAAAACCCGTTATTGAATATTTGTGCACGAATGTGTGTGTGCACATGTGTAGTTTTTTTAAAGATTTATATATTTATTTCAGAGACAGAGAAAGCGCGTGAGAGCAAGGAGGGGAAGGGCAGAGGGAGGGAATATCCAAACAGACTCCCACTGAGCATGGAGCCTGACACGGGCCTTGATCTCACAACCCAGGAGACCAGGACCTGAGGCGAAACCAAGAGTTGGAGGCTTAACCAACTGAGCCAACCAGGTGCCCCCATGTGTACTTTCTTGAAAAAGAATTAGGGTTTTACATTATTTTAATGCTACTGAGCCCTCCTGGGAAAAGGAAAAGGAGAGAGGAAAAGATAAACCAGCAAGCAAAAATGAAGGACTAGAACCCACAGGAGTGGGCGTCCTTCTGCTGCTGTTTTGCCCAGGAGAGCACAGTCCCCAGTTCTCCTTAGGATGGTCACCCAGTGGACGTGCAGGGGGACAAACACCAGACAGCACAGCGACGCGCACACACACAAGCACAGCACAGGAATCATGCTTTAGGGCCATGCTCTCACCATGGAGGCGGCGGGGGCGGGGGAGAGCTAATCTCACTTGATTCCACATTCCTGGCTCCCTAGCAGTAGCCAAGATTCCAACACCCTGGCCCTGAGATCTTTATAAATTTCAAACGCTATCTAAGTAAGACAGGAATGCTTTTTTGGACAGCTTTACAGAAAGGAGGGGGAAAATGTTCGCGGCAGGGGGGCGGGTAGTTGGTTCAACTCTTTCGCAGCTGGTTAGTAAAAATGAACTCTAACTTTAATTCTTATATATTCTGCACAGGATGGGAGGAGGGCACAGAAACCATGATAGGAGTTCGTTCCACAGGCTGAGGGAGGGGCACCAGTGCCACCTGCCTCCAGACTAAAATAACAGATAAGGCATGTACAGAAAAGCTTTTTAAAATTGGAGGAATGGGTACCGAAAGAGTCACTATAGTTAATCTTTTACAAGGGTCTGATGGCAGGGTTCATAAACTCTCCATTTTAGGAATTTTTGTAAAGTCTGAATTTTATAATCAGTGAAACCTCAGTAGTTTATAACAAATTGATCTCATTATAGTGAAGTACCTTGTCATCCTTTATTTCCTATGAATGTTTGGAATCCAGCAGTATAGTGTAGTAACACATTTCAGGTGACATTTATTAGCTTTTAAGTGTTTTAAAATTTTTTGTATCATCACTGGAAACTGAAGCTATGACAGACACATCAAGAAATTCATAAAATCCCTACAAAATCACTGTTCTATTTACTGTGATTAATAGCCTGATTTCAATAGTGAAAAACAATAGAAACAGAGTCTCAGGTGTAACAGACTTGTGGTTAACAAAAATTCACTCTTTCTGTAACAAAGAAAGATGGAAATTTGATCAAGTAAATGTGCCTATAAAGGATATAACTATATTATCCTTTCAACCAGGGGTATAGAATTTCTTCCATTTCATATTTTTATAATTTCTATGTATGTCTAAAATCAAACACACTGGAGAAAACAACCATATCAATTATATATTAAGAAAGCCATATTTTAGGAACCAACTCATTATTCTGACAACTGGCAAATAAAAAGAAAGAACCGATTATCTATCTATCTTATCTCTTCCTTATGAGCGGTTTTGAAAAACCCCATAAAAGTGCACCTACCTCTAGCCAAAAGAAGTCCAACAATGCCAGCAAAACCGATAACACCAAGTCTTGGAAAAAATCCAGGAGGTGCATTTTGGAGATATTCATAGCTGCCTACAATAGAATCAGACCAGGAAACCGTTCTATAAATTGCCCATTAGGAAACAAACCCAAAAAAATCTTACACATAACTAGTATACACATATAGTATCAAACACTTGTCAAATAGTGTGTTCTTTGCTTTATGCTAATATGCTTTAACACATTCTTTTTATGTGATAGATAAATATGCTTTATTATTCACATAGCAAGTAGCCAATTTTCAAACACTTCTAGTTTGATGACCTACTGACAGCAAAGTCATGTTAGACCACCTTCATATTCCTGAATGCAACAGATCTGAGTTAACTATGCACAGGGGGAGAAATACAAATATGGGGATTCCTTGTCTTCCAGACACAGAGACGGAATAGATTTGGAGAGATCTGCCGCTATCCTGAAGCTCTACTGCTTGCTCTCTGAAACTCAGGAACCAAATACATGAGGCTTGGGGAAAAACGTATCCTTTGCCATCTGAATTCATTATTTGAAGTCGAGAAGAGAATCAATCTGGACAACATAGGAAACTTTTAGTGCACGTATATGAGGGAAATAGTCACTGGTGACAGATAAACACAAAGAAATGCAGCACGTGAGCCTAGGTGCCCTGCCTGAGCATGCCTTATGACCTCATCGGAATGATGACTCCTCTCCCATCCACTGAGCCAATCCCACCAAGTAAGAGCCATCTGCATTCCTAACCCTCTCGGAAAAACCTTTCCTAGACTGCTCAGCCCACACCTCTCTCTCCTCTAAAGTCCCATCATATTTATTCTCTGTACCATCATTTGGTATGCAATCCTATAGAGCACGCTGTGTGTAATTACTCACGGGTGTATTGTATGCCTCCTCAAGGAGAACATATGCTCCTGAATGGTTCATTGGTTGGACTTCTATGTTATTTTCCCTCAGCGGAAACAGTCAATGTTCATCCAACAGCTGTTTACTGAAAGCACTGCTAGGTGCTGACAGATACCAAATGAATTAAAAAATGGGTTTCAGAGAGGCTGTAACTTCAAAACCTTTCATGTCTGTCTCAACCCCATCTTCAGCACTCCCTAAGTGCTTCCAGTTTCCGGCTCAGGAAACACCGAGTCACTCCTCCAAGCCCTGATCATGCTATGCCCTCTGTGTGGAATGATGCTTAAGTTCCACCCCCATGTCTTGGTGTGGCTGACTCTACTCTAAGATTCAACTCAGACATCCTTCCCTGACTCTTCCCCGCCCTGCAAACCCTATTAAACTCATTTCCTTCCTCTGTACCTTCAAAAGTGGCCTGTGACTTTCTCTGGATTTGTGCTACTGTTGAAAATGTATTACATACCCCTCAGTGGTCGTGACCGTTGTCTGAATCAGCCGTGATTATCTATGCCTGCCATGAGGCTGACTTCCCAAATGTCTGCAGAACCGAACTGACTGGAATGCTCGGTAATTCTCTCCCCCAGAAAAGAGCAGACACAGGCCAGTTTTCCTTTTCCTGGCTGTTTGGGAAATGTGTTGATCATTTTAAACACTACTATAGGGCTTGTGGTGTTTGCGAGAATTCCTGGCTGGCCTTTGACTTATTCTGCCTTTAACTTAGTTTTCACTTTCCAACTCTTTGTCTGGGTCATCTGAAGCAATTTTCTACTTCCCTTTATTTTTGCCTACCGGCGCAGTGTTTTTAATTCGAGACGTGCACACAGAACACTTGATAGGCGGTCACCCAGATGGCCTTGGTGAGCTGAGCTGAAGTGGGTAAATCACAGAGAAGCGGGAAAGAAGATACGCTAAAAGGCTGCAGTGAAGCCCCAGCCCGGCTTCTGGTACCGTGTCCTGGCTAGGACTGCCGGGAAATGGACGGACCACCTTGGCAGACAACAGTGCAACTCATAATGGAATATTTCTTAAGAGCTTTTGCAGTAACCAGTCCAAGAGAAGACAAACAAGACTTAGGTTGCTAATAATGCCTATTGCTGTGAATCGACGGGAAGTGATAGGTAACAATGCAAAGCCCTTCATGACAAAAGATCTGAAGTTCTTGAGTTTCCTCAGATTAAAACATGAAGGTAATAAAAGCACCTATCTATCAGGGTTATGAGGATTATACATAAATTAATATTTTAAAGCACTCAGACTAGTTCCTGACATGTAATAAAAACTAAGTAAGTGCTGATGAAATTAATAAAATGAAGATGTTACTTATTAACATACATATTATTCATAGGTGTTAATATCCTGTATCATCCCATCAACACCTGATGATCTCTGGAAGGAAATAAACTATATTCGTGTTTGTTTTATTCAGTCATGGAAGCAAACGCTTGTAAAAACAAGAGTTTTTCTTTGCTGAGATGCCCAGCAAAGGGAATGAAACATGCTCAATGTCCATTAATTCACCAGTGTCTGAAGGAGATGAGTCAGAATATAGACTGTGAACCCAGTTTACGAGTGTATGGGATAAGTGGATATGGAAAACAATCAAGGACAATAAAAACCCAATGAGAAAAATCTAAGAACACTACTCCATGCAGCCAGGCCTTTCCTAGGCACACCAGCCCAGTTTCTTCCAGCCTCTAAATTTCTGTAACGTGTATTAACAGCCATACAGATAAGCTATCCTGATTCCAAAAACCTACTGATGAGTTAGTGGGGGTTAGTGTCTGTCAGGGACACTGCGCCTGGAATTAGATTTCAGAAAAAACATCCAGTGATTCTGAACTTGTTAGCCCAGCAATCCCAATGATCTTGAACAGACTTCCCAAATGTTGAGGGACACTAGTCTTCTGAAATCTGATGAAAACAAGAGATCTTCTTTCCAGAAAAATCCACATAGTTCTAATATTCTGCATTCAATTTCAAAGAATTCCCAGATCTCCTGGATCCCATCCATGGTATCCTGGTTAAAGAATCCAATGTTAATGAAGAAACTGATTATGCCCAATTAAAGATCAACTTACCTAACCCCCATTGAACCAAGCTCTGCATCTTGGGCTTAGTTTGGGAGTACATTTCCTAAAAAGGTGAAAAGAAAATGAATGAGAAGGATATGCTGATTAGAAAGTAACAATAAATATATTTGTCTTTACCGTATAAATTACCATGTTATTAACACTTTTTGGACAAAGGGATATATTGTCTATCTGGGTTTTTCTGTGTTCTTTTTCTCTTGTGTAATTTCCCCTTCACTGCAAATTGCTCAGCAGAACAGTATTATTGTCACAGGAAGCAAACATTACAAGCAGAGCGATTTCAACAACCCAGCCTTTTTATTCTTCTGTTAAATTCAAGAGAATGGACAAAAATCAATCTCCTTGATAACTGAAGTGGCAATCCTCTCCCTGTGAGATGCAATCTCTTTCATATTAAGTCTATTTCCTGATATGTCATGATTTTAGAGTCTGTATCTAAAAACTGCCCTTCTGAAGCAGGAATGACCACCTTGAATGGGACAAAGGAGTCTATATCCAAGTTTTGAGAAACACTTAGCCTAATCCTGGAACAAATGAAGTACTAACATTCTCTTAACAACAACAACAACAATAAAATGGCTTTGTACATGAACATCATATAACCTAAAGAAAACAATGGACTAGCTAGAACGTATTCCACCTCAAGAAGTCTACAATGGGGCACCTGGGTGGCTCGGTCAGTTAAGCATCAGCCTTCAGCTCAGGTCATGATCCCAGGATCAAATCCTGTGTGGGGATCCCTGCTCAGTGGGAAGCCTGCTTCTCCCTCTCCCTCTGCCCCCTTCCAATCATGCGCTCGCTCTCGCTATCTCTCAAATAAATAAATAAAATCTTTAAAAAAAGAAGTCTAAAATAAAGTAAGAAAAAGAGACATATGGACATCAGAAGGTATCAGAACCAGTTGCCACTTGGAAAAGGATTTGTTTTGTTTAATTTGGTCCAACTCAGAACGAGTTATCCTAATACTATTAAATGCCCTTAAACAATAAACACTGAATTTAGGGGAGGACATAAAAAAAATTTAAAAACTGAATACTGCTTCATTAAAATTCATTATTGGTATTTTATGCCCATAAAAAAAGAAAAACTACAGATAAATGGCTACAGTGACGACCTATTTTTTTGTTAGCATAATCTTCTCACTATACAGAAAAATTAAATTAGTTCTTAAAGGAAGGGGCTAGAAATCACTGGCTTGAAAAAGGAGCCAGGAATTAGAAATATTTCTATTGAAGAAGGCATCATCCTGAAGAAAAATAAAGCCATTGTAATCACAAAATGGCTTTTTTATTTAGAAGTAGTACAAATAAACATGTTGATAATTATTCTGTCATTTAGAGAGGTATTTTGCTACACTGAGCATCATGCACAGATGAAAAAGTAAAAAACAAAAGGCAATCTGAGGTTGAAAGGTTAAGAGACAAAGTACTTTTATAACCAAAAAAAAAAAAAAGCACACAAAATAATCTCAGTCAATGCCTACATGATAGAAAAATATTTGCACAAATTTGTGGACCTTATCTTAACCAGCAGATGGCTTAAAAAATCTTCTAGAACAAGAGAATAAAGTCTAAGCTTTTTACAACACATTATGTAAGTCTTTAGATATTCATAACTCAATAATATGGTTACAATACTTATATATACTGGCCTAATTTATATTGCTGACAGAGTCTATGCTTACTGTTTTCTTCTAAATTGATAAAAAGAAGTTTAGCACTGGCAGAGAGAGTGGAAATGAAAACATTAAGACAAGCTCTGGATGAAAATTCTGTCTGTAAATCTTGAGCAAAGTATGTGTGACCATGTCACAGACATCTACATACTTTGTACTAATCTGCCATCAATTTTCGAAGTCCAGACCAACTATGGCAAACACTTGATGCATCAAAGCCCACAAGAGCATTCTGTAGATTGTAATCTTCCATTTCAGATGTTAAAAATTGCAGGGCGCCTGGGTGGCTCAGTGGGTTAAAGCCTCTGCCTTCCGCTCAGGTCATGATCCCAGGGTCCTGGGATTGAGTCCCGCATCGGGCTCTCTGCTCAGCAGGGAGCCTGCTTCCTCCTCTCTCTCTGCCTGCCTCTCTGCCTACTTGTGATCTCTCTCTCTGTCAAATAAATAAATAAAAGTCTTTAAAAAAAAAAAAATTGCAGAAATGCTTCCATGAACATAATCACAAGAGCCTGATCTAAAACCTGAGTGGGGAAAGAAGCCCATCTGTGTATGTAGCTCTTTGGTCACCTATTAGAGCATTCAGAATGTTCTGTAGCCATTCCTGTTACAATGGCTCTGGTGTGTACACTTTCTGGAGGGGGAGAAAAACTTCCCAATTTTTATATAAATGCTTACATTATATCCTCTTCCTTCTACTAGAGTTCCAGCCCCATATCCTCCCCTGGGAGACAATGATGGCTTCCTAGCTGCGACCAACAAGATAGTGACCAGTCCACTCTCCAGTCAAGGTGCCACACGCTGCCTGGCAGGAGGGCCATTCTCCCTGCAGCGATGGCAAAAGCCACTACCAGGAAGCTAGGGCTCTCGGCTCCCCTCAGAGATGCCACTGATGAACACCGTTAAGTCAGGCCCTCTGAAGTTGGAGACCTCTGTTGTGCCTTTTTCTGAAAACATGCAGCCAATAGAGACTTTTCACTCTGGACTCCAAACAGAAATGTGTCACTCCACTTTCAGAACAGCTGTACCTGACACCAACTTGTATATGGCTCGCAATAATGTCGGAGATGTGAAATGCTTTCCTCAAGTGGGGTCCTTGGCTCTTCCACATATTTAGACTGACCCTCGGGAACCGAGTAGAGTGAAAGCTGCATACATGAAAAAAACAAAACAAAAAGAAATTAAAAAGCACAAATAGTCATGAGATAATGTAATCAATCATCAAACTGTTGAGCATCACTCTTTCTAGCAATTCATGAACTGCTGTGACTCTAAGGGTTTCATCCCCCTGAAACTTACTCCAGAGGATCTTTGAACCTGATTTATCAGTAAGAACAAGGCCAAGAAGACAGGACTATCAAGTGTCCTCTCCTCCTCCCACTCCAGTGGTAGCAGACAAAGCAGCAGCCCCCCTTATCCATTTTCTATCCTGGCATTTGGTATTTCACCTTAGATACAGTATGGAAAAAGGATTCTATTACTCTAAAGTGGGGAGGAGATGTAAAAAGAAAAAAACTGAGTTCAAATGATCAGTCTGGTGCTAATCGAAGCAGGAGAGCAAGTTTGTTCCCCACCCAGAGGAAAAACTGTTCATAGTCATTACTGGCTGCCTTCTTCACCCTCAAAAAACACCACAGTCCCAAGGCCTGAGAAGAGTATAAAGGGAAAAAGATAAATTAATTAGCTTTTTGAAAACACCATTCAAGTAACCTGGTTCATGACTGAAGGCAGATCTTTACATTATTTTACTCTAAAATCAACAGATAGCAAATATCCAAAATAATCGGTGGGAAGTATATACAAAGAAAAAAAAAGAATGTAAACAATGGAAAGAAGATTTCTTCTTTTATTTATTTAGTATTTATTAAGCATCTACTTATGAGCCTCTAATGTGCCCAAGAAGAATGAACCCAGATCTTTAATTTCTTAGAGAGGGGAAAAATGCAAATGTTTTCCTGGCTTAAAAGCAGTCTTAGGGGCGCCCGGGTGGCTCAGTTGGTTAAGTGTCTGCCTTTGGCTCAAGTCATGATCCCAGGGTCCTGGGACAGAGCCCTGCATTGGGCTCCCTGCTCAGCCAGGAGACTGCTTCTCCCTCTCCCTCTGCCTGCCACTCCCCGGGTTTGTGCTCGCTCTGTTAAATAAATAAAGTCTTAAAAAAAAAAAAACCACTGAAAAAGAAAGCAGTCTTGGATGAGGCGGGTCACTTAGAAGTGACAAGCAGATTCCCCACAAAAAAAAATCTAGGAAATATTCCTTAATTATGCCCTTAGCTAACTATCATTCATTAAAGTTTGTTGAAAAAGCTACCCTTTAGTAGCTTCCCATGAAGAAAAACTGTAGGGAAATCCACTTTCTACTTGGAAGTGTCTTCTAAACTGTCCTATCTCCTGATGTACAATTTGTAGACTTCGTATAGTAACTAAAGCAGATGTTCAAAATATATCACAACATGAACGGCATGTTACCTCATTAACCTTCACAGAAGCTTTGTGAGGTGAGTCCTTTTTAGGTGACGCATAGACTTTGAAGGTGAGCAGACTCAGGCTGGCCGGCCCCACAGCCCTCTGAATTACCTGAAACACAGAAGCAATCTTAAAGCCTTCTTCGATGCAATAAACCGAACATACATAATGTGAGCATATTTATAACTTCAGCGACTTCTGCCCTAGAAGGCTTACTGCGCTTTATGAGAAACAGATGTGTTCCTAAAATTTTATGGAAACTTGAAGAAACGTGTACCCATGGACTTAAAATTTCAGGTCACCTTCACCTTAATTTCCAAGACAGTAGTTCCTAAGTTTTTCTACTTAGCCTGTCAAGTGAAGTAAAAGATACGTATACAGACACGTGTGCATGCTTTTAAAAATAACAGAGAAATGTTATGGAATGATTTTAAAACTGTAACAGTCTCTATCTCTCTCACACACATACAAACACCCCCCCCCACCAACAGTGGAAGAGGTTTTGAAATGATCTCAACTAGTGATTCACTGAAGAGAGTGAAGATTATTTCTGTAATTCTAATAACCAAATGTTCACAAGCTTTCTCTTTCCATTCCCATTCAGAGCTGGTCTCCTCCAAACTAAGTTCCCCAAGTCAGTATCTTTTCGTTCCTTGCCCTCCCTCACTGGGTCACTCACACCCAGGGCTGCAATGCGAATGCAGTCCCAGCCCAGAGCTCCCTCCTGAGCTCCCAACTCACTTATCCAATTACTCCTGGACATTTGTACTTTTTTGCAAGCCATGTCCAAAATCAACTCATTGCGATCTTGTCTTGTGCCTCCAAGTCCACACTTCGCCTGATGGGTGGGTGTGTGCTACAGAATCAAGTCAGAAGGCTTTCTTTTTTTTTTTTAAAAAAAGATTATTTATTTATTTATTTATTTGACACACAGAGAGCAAGAGATCACAAGTAGGCAAAGAGGCAGACAGAGGGGAAGGGGGAAGGAGGCTCCCTGCTGAGCAGAGAGCCCGATGTGGGGCTCGATCCCAGGACCCTGGGATCATGACCTGAGCCGAAGGCAGAGGTTTAACCCACTGAGCCACCCAGGTGCCCCCAGAAGGCTTTATTTTCTATCGTAATCCCTTACCTTACACAGCATGTGACCAGCTAGCATCTTTACCCCAGACCTGTCCCTTCCTCTACTTCCTCGCAGGCATGGTGCCACCACCCAACCAGGCAACCCGGTCAGAAACTCTGAGGTCGTGTTCACACCACCCAGGCCTAGCAGTCAGCAAGTCCTGTTAACTCTAACCGTTCAGTAACCTCCGTTCACTCTCCCCACTTTATCTCCTGCTGTACAATCTTCCCTTGAGCCCTCTTTTCTTTCTTGGATTGTTTCCAGCAGCATTCTAACAGTTCACCTGGCCCTCTGATGACTCGAACCACCACAATGCAAAAGAATGATCTTTCTATACTGCAAATTAATTATCTTCTAGCCTTAGTTTGAGATCCTTCCTTATTTATTATCTTTAATGCAGACTTTTCTGCCAGGCAAGCAAGGCCCATTATGATGCGACCACAACCACCTTCTTTCACCTGGCGTCTGCCTTCCCCACAACACACCAACTCCCTAGATTTCTCCCCTGCTGTTGCCCAGCTTCCTGGGTTTACATATGCTGCTTCCTCTGCCTGGAATTTCCTATCCTTGCTTTGTCTTGCTGTACAGCTGCCTCAGAGCAGGGAGTTATACTGCATTTTTCTTTTCTTTTCTTATTTATCCATTTATTTATGTCTATCAAGTTCTCCCCAACAGATCGGAAGACCTTTCGCGACACTGCCATGTCTTACTCTGTCTCCCTACTGCCTCTGCCTGTGCCTAGCACAAAAGAAATGTGCAGTAATAACTGTTCACTGCCCGCATGAATGGATGGAGGAGAGGTAGAAAATAAATGAGTGGCTGACCTGTTCTAACTCTGTAGGCATGCTTCAGCATCATGGAAATCATATTACTGAGATCTGCAAGACTAGGCTATTGTGAAAGACTAGGCTATTCCACAATACTCACAAAACATACCGTGCTAAATAAAACATAACAAAATGTCTGTTGAAATGTGCGCCTGGAGTTACACACAAAAAGGGAAATTCCTACTTCGGAAGCAAATAAAGAGCTGGAAGCTATTTAGAGGAGTGGCTATGACTTTAACTGATTTAAAAATAATTAACATAACCTGAAATAGTAAGTGTTCACCTTGAAAGGACTCAATTTCAAGGCAATATTGCTACAAATTTCTTTTGTTTCCAGAGTAAAGCTTAACCAGCTACTGCTGGCAGTTGGTGTGGTCCCTCCTGGCACCCCAGGGGCCTATTAGGCTGCTGGTATCTGGAGGTGCCAACTCAGTGCTCTCTGCCCCCTGGGTCTGTCCACAACCTACCCACAACACTGCTTTGAACTGGGGACTTTCCCCTGAGCCAGCTAGCCTTACTCTGGACTTTGATCCCAAGAGCTGGTACTTCACCCTTTCCCACTCCCCATCCAGCACCGCAGCCCCCACGCATTTGGGGTTCATACTGTCCTCTACTTCATCATTCTTTTTTAAAGATTTTATTTATTTGAGAGAGAGAGGAAGAGAGAGAGAAAGAGAGAGAGAGCACACAAACAGGCAGAGGGGCAGAGAGAAACAGATTCACTGCCAAGCAGGGAGCCCAATGCCGGGCTAGATACCAGGACTCTAGGATCTCGACCTGAGCCAAAGGCAGATGCTTAACTGACTGAGCCACCCGGGCGCCCCCACCTTCATCCTTCTTTGACATAATGCCTTATGCTGACCTTTTAAATTCTCAATTCCTGCTTTCAATCCTTAATCCAATCTACTTCTCACATATTCTGTTTTTCACCTTGTAGCCTTCTGTTGTTTTAATGCAGATTTCTACTTCTGTTCTTAGTGATTATTTTCACTCCCTTTGATCTTTTTAATCTCAATTTACTCACTTTTTAAATGTAACATTTTATTGGACTCTTGATTACTTTTACTTTATTTTTCCCTTTCATCCACTTCTCTAATTTCAATATTAAGTAAAGCCTGGTCCTTTATTGCTCAAGTTGTTTTCTCCCTCTTCTCCTGTCAGTCTTCCACCCCCTCCAAAGCCATGGCCCCTCCCATCCCACAGCAAGAACTGTGCCCTTGAGGGCGGGAGCACCCAAGAAAGGTCCCTCCTGCAGCTGCCCTTTCAGCTTCCCGAAGGCTCTCAACAACTACAACCAGGAAAAAATTAACCCTCACCCCAGAAGACTTGGGAGAACTACAGTTTAACACTCCCTAGGGCCACAGTTCTCTCTGCCAAGAGCACATAATTTACTTCAGGGTTTCTCAATCTCAGCAATATTAACACTTTGGCCTGGATCACTGTTTGATGTGAGCGCTGTCTTGAGCACTAGATGCTTCCTGACATCCTTGGCCTCTACCCACTGGATGCCAGTAGCACCCCTCCCAGACTCAAAAGAATGTTTTCTGACATCTCTCACCATCCACACTTCAAGCAAATCGGTATGTCTTTAAAAATCCAGGGCCTCGGCTTTAATACACAGTGATAGAAATCAGAAAAGTCATGCCTAGAGGAGGGGGAGTGAAGCGTGGGGAGGGGATGGACTTATGAGAAGGGGCACCAGGGAACTTCCTGGGATGATAGAAATGATCCATGCCTCGACTGGGGTATGGGTTACAGAAGGCATATATACATGTGTTAAAACTCTAACTGTAAGATCTGTACAACCTAACAACTGTACATCTCACTGTACATAAACCGTATCTCAAAAATTCCATGCATGCCTAAACTGCACCAAGTCCATGCTAAAATATGAGTGGAAACTGGAGGCCAAGGGGGATTCCTAAGGAATCTGACTGTGGTACCAAACCAGGTGCTACTGACCTTTGCGACAGCAACCCACACAAGGACCCTCAGTACCAGGTCCACAGGCAGACCAGCCTGACGCTCATGCACTGCCCAACATCCTGGGTGGTTCCCTTTTCTTTTTGGCATCAATGGGGCTCCTCTTGGGAGAGACTACCGCATCCTGCCTCAGCCAGACCACATGTTATCACAAATGCGGGTTCTGGAGGCGGGGCCCCTGCCAGGTATTTAACATAACTTCTGAGAGTTCATACTGAGTATTCAGGCCAACCCATTTGATATCAGAATTTAAGAAGAGAAAGGCTATTTAAATGGGCAGAGATCACCCCATGAAAGTGAGAGAGCAAAAGAGGAGTCAAAGAACATTTTTCAATCTCCTGTCTCCTCCAGGAAGAAAAAAACCCCACTAATCTGGAAGTGAGATGGCTTGAAGAAAGATTTAACCAACTTCCAGAATCTGGATCACTAAATCACTTCAGCTCTGGCTTTATCACCTTTTCTCCAATGGACACTTCTGTTGGGTTGCCTTGTGTGAGACTAGAACACAGAGGCATCCTCTCTCCAGGAGGGGTCTTGATCCATTATGGTACAACCAGACTGAAAATACCTCCTGGGACCTTTTCTGGACCTTTTCTGATAAGCTGGAACCTCTAGGCTGTGCATACCCCTGGCCTTACTGTCCCAAGAGATAGTACTTGAGAATCTTTGTTTGCGAGGTTTACTCTCTACCCAGGACAGATGGCTTGGCTCAGAAAATGGGTACAAAAGCACCTTCCAAGAGCGGATTAGACATGCTCTAGTTCATATTTGATAAGTTTGGCTTGATATAGACCAAAGTCAAGCCCACTCTGTTAAGAACTGCATCTTCAATGAGTGCTAAGCTACTAGATTCAATAGCTTTGTTGCTTTAGATCCAGCCTATCCTCTGGAATGTATCCTTGAAATGTACTAGATGCGTCTCCTGGAACTCAGACAGTTGGGGGTCTCTAAGTAAGGACCCCAGTATGGTGATTTCAAACTAAGGACCCCAGTGTGGTGACTGGTCTGAGGTTTTGAATACAGCTGCAGAAGACCTCAGTCACAGGGAAAACTAAAATCTGACTCAGACAAAGGTAAGTTGGTGATGCTTAGCCTTGCAAACCTCAAGGGGAGTACCAGCAAGTTTCCTGGCTCATGTGGCTAATCAATCAATCTTTCTTTCTTTCTTTCTTTCTTTCTTT